TCGATACAGCAGCCCACGATATCAATACTGTATAATCACATTAAATGATACAATATATTAATATTTCAATATTTTTGCACACCCCTACTCTCCACAGATCTGTCCAGTAGCTTGACCTGGTAATGACAAACTGTTTATTCTCCATGGAGATAAACAACTTTAATGCCATAGTCTGGAACATGTCAGACAAAGCAGTAACATCACCAGGGATTACTCAAACATGTGTGACTGAAACAAAAACACAACTCCAGGCATGTTTTTGATGAGGTAAGAGCATTCTAACATGGCTTAAAGCTCACAAGAGACAATTTTGTGTAATATATGGCCTTTAAAAAAAAAATCTTATTCTTAGATTGATAACAACTGTTAATGCCAAAATGAAACTTTAGGTCCAGTTCTGTTAAGTACAGAATGACTTGAACTAAAGTTGCTGAAATCCAGTTGTCTGTAACTTCTCTCCCCTGGCTTATACAGACATTACATATTCTCCTCTCCACATGTTTTGGGGCTAAACGCTGCAGAAATATGTTTATGAAAACCTAATTTGCAAACGTCCATGTGCGTGGATGTTGATGATGGAGGGAAAATCGTAGCTCGGAGGTAGCGCAGGATGCTAGCGCTACGTTCGCCGATACTCTGGAGATCTGTGCAAATTCGTAAATGTTGTACAAGTAAATTCATGACTTTGGGGCGAATAAAAATACCGATACGAAAGCAGCTAACGGCAAAAAGCATGAATTATTATGTTATCCTCCAACATGAACAACCTTGAAATGAAGCTATAGGACTATGTGTTTACAACGAGCAAACAAGAGGTACGAGAATAATAAGGACATGTGCACAACAGTGAGAGGAAATAACGAAAACGTAGAGGACAGGTTTTAATCAGGCCCAACACAGAACTATACATATTACATGGGACGAAAACACTGTGTCTCCACAAAGATCTAATTGTATTGCCTGGAATGTTTCAGAATATGGCATTAAATGTATCTATTTTCATTGAGACAACCAGGTGCAAGTCACACGCGGATCTGCGGAGAGGACACCCCACTCACAGTAAGAATGCAGGATTTTCAAGGTATTTAAGTAAGTAACAGACATTTCACAGACATTTTTTGTCCCCAAAGACTCTTTACAGAGCATTATTCAGCATTATTCATTCACTCTATACCTGGTGATGGTAAGCTACTATTGTAGCCACAGCTGCCCTGGGGCAGACTGACAGAAGCACGGCTGCCATGCCACTCTGCGCCATCGGTCCCTCCGACCACCACCATCACTCACACACACACCACTTTCATACTAGGCAATGTGGGTGAAGTGTCTTGCCTAAGGACACAATGATTGAAGTGATTGTATTTAACTGACCATGACTATCAACTGTTCCTGGAGACCTGTAGCATGTTTTGAGTTGATGGGGGAAACCCATCAACCCAAAAGAGCAAAAAAACACCTGTAATTGAGTAAATACAAAAATGTAGAAAGAACAAAAATGTGGCTGTTTGCTGCAGGTGTTCCAATCAGTGGGAGCAGGTAGAGGGTGCTCTGGAAAAAAGATCAAAACTAAATCACAACAGACTCCAGGCACTCCAAAGAAGTACAAAAAGTAAAAAATCGCACGAGGAAATATGTAGTTAAAAGGCCTTTATTTGAATGGCCAAAGCCAACATGTTTCGACCTTAACAGTGCGACCTTGTGCGATTTTTTACTTTTTGTACTTCTCTGAAGTGCCTGGAGTCCGTTGTGTTTTAAATACAAAAATGTGTTTAAAGAGCCATTAAACACCCTCTCAAACCTTTATTCTACCCCTAAGCAAAATCTGAAAAATCCTTCACAGTGGGCGGCTAGGTTAGGGGAAGCGGGTATGGGGCGGGTTCTGGAGCGATGATTGACAGCTGAACGACAGCCACAACAATCTCACGTGGCGCCAGACCAGTGCACTCTGGACAGAACGAACATTTGTGCTCGGGTCATGTCGTTTCCCTTTTCTCCAGACACAGTGGGACGTCTCGGTGTCAGGTACGGATGGGGCTGAGAGGGGCTCCTCACGTAGTGCCCGTGTCTGCACACGTCACGTAATAACCTGCATCTGACTCAATGGCGGCCTTTAGTCCATCCCAAACATTCAAATGTCCTGACCGTAGTTGATCCTAAAGAGGCTGATACAGACACGGCTTGGACCCAAAAGTCAGATTTTTAACAAATATGCACTAAAATGCCAAAATAAGGCCAGGGATAAGTATACACTTCTATTTTAGAGCCATTTACACAGATAATCAGCAGAAAAAAAGTGATTTTGGTGTATAGTAGTCCTTTAATTTCATACCCTGAAAAGCAAGAAAGCAGTAACAAACAAACCAGTACCCCCAAACAATACTAGTCCAAAATAATGAACATATTTTTAAAAAGATTGTGTAGCCTTAACACAGTACTTTTAACTATTAGGACACTTGAACTTAAAACGACTCTTTAGCGCCACCTAATGAAGCCAAAAGAGTTGATAATCACTATAACCCGACAGCCGAGTTAGTTGGTAAATAAATACAAATGTAAACAGTGTAGCTTGTTTTAATTAACCTGGCGCTGCCTTGCTAACACACCTCTGATCTGAACATATGTCTTTTCTGGAGAGAGGGAGGGCCTCTGTGTTAATTTGAGGTTTGCAGCTTGTGTTGGGATTGCACCTTCACCTCGATGCCTTTTCACTAATTTGTTAAGAGCAGTGCAGTGGTCGCCTGTCACAACAGCAGAAGGCAGAAAATAATTAAGAAAAACAATTAGTGCGACTCCAAGCGGGATCACAGCCAAAACTACAGCGAGGGAGGAGAGGGATGGAGGGAGAGGGGGAAGGAGAGCAAGACAGAGAGAAGGAGAGGAGGAGGGGGTCCCAGAGGAGAACACAAGGCACTACAACTCCCAAAGTACAAGTTCAACTGATACTAGAAATGCAAAACACTGTTGTAAGGATGTTACAGTGACAATTTTAAGCGCTGGATTATTGAGAAGGAACACAGATTTTTACAAAATTCTGGAAATATGGTAAATGGTCACATTTTTCTATAGCGCTTTTCCACCTTCAAGGCACTCAAAGCGCTTTACAACAAAAAACCACTCACCCATTCTCACACACATTCACACACCAGTGTACGCAGACACTGTGGGCAAGGTGGGTTAAGTGCCCAAGGACACAACGGCAGCATTCATCTGTGGGAGCTGGAATCACACCAGCCAACTTGTGGGTCAGTGGATCTGACCGCTCAACCTATGATGTTTTATGTCGAGAGCTGGAATCGAACCGCCAACCTTCAGATCAGTGGGCGAATGCTCTACTGATCTGTTGAGCTACTGCCACCCAATATAACATATAAAAGCTACAAAAAGTGCTATTAGGGCAAAAATCGATTAATTGGCAAATATTATTAGTAGTAATATTTCATTTAAAGCCCATGTGGATTAGAACAGTGGTTTCCAAAATGGGGCTGGGACCTCCATGGGAGTTGCGCGACACTGAGTGGAGGTTGGGTGATGATTTTTTTTGAAGATTTCAAGACAGACAGATAGATGATTAATCTGTATGTGTTTTAAACATCAATACCAAATATCTCTGTGTTTGTGTTTGACTGTGATTTGTGTCTATTTTCTTTAACCTGTGTGTGCTTTTTAGCATGTTCTAATTTTATTAATGACAACTGTTTTATTGTACTCATATATAACTTTCCCCCGCACCCCTCTTTGATGCCTGTGATGAGACAAAAACTTGAGATATTACCCACACTGGCAGTGCTTTTAAAGTAAAGTACAGCCGTCACAGAATGTTTTTTTTTTTTTAATATGTATATAGATTAACTAACTTAGTTTCATAGAGGGTACAATTCAAATTTCCGACTACAGTTAATATTCATTGATCTCTTTTTGATGTCTTTGTCATGTGATGGCCTGAATGTCCCGTTTTTTGTCTTACCATCAGCCTGCCAATGGGACTATGGATGAAAATGAGCCTGCATGGCAAACTCTGGCACATTTACATGCTGTACTAACACATATTGATTAATGTGCACTGTCCCATATTTAATAAATTAACATAAAACATAAAAAATGACACTGTATTTTTATATATTTTGAAAATATAACTACATAATTTGGTGAAGTTATGTTTAACAATATCATAAACTATTTAAATAAATGATATTAAACCTGTTTTATGTCTTTTTCAAGGTGACAATATTACCAGCATCAAACAGATTTGCTGTGAAAATGGACAGTAGAAGATCAGCACATTCTAGTGTCTGAAAACAATCACTAGTTTGTAGATTTGACCTTGTTTGGGTCAAAGTCACAGTGGTAAATCTCTGAGGAGCGGAGCAGCAGGTGTCTCACGTCTCAGAGGGACAAAAAGCCTCACATTCATAACAAGTTCAAACAAATGTGAACAAATGTGAGTAGATCTGTCAAAACTCAAACTGTAACAGAGCTCTGACGTTTATAGTGACTCAGACTCGGCACAGATAGAGCAGAGAGCAGCCTCCAGCAAAACATGACGTCTTTTACATGAGACAAAGAACACACTGGGGATATGAGCTTGGTCTGTGCATCATGTGCATCATTGAAGAACTACTGTATCAGAGGTGGATAGAATATGAGTCCCATTGGAATCAGAATTATTCAGGTAGAAGAAAAAAATGTGTAGATCATAATTATGTTTTGGTGTTTGTCAGATTTTAGTTTATTTTTTTATATTATACTATCACTTTAGGGTAACATACAAGAAATTTCTAAATATAAACTTTTTTAGAAACAATGCACTAATAGTACAAAAACTTACTCAAACTTGCTACTCAAATACATGTATAGTTACTTCAAAATATTACTCAAGTACAAGTAAAACTAGTCTTAGAAGTACAATATCTGCTGAGTAATTGTAACTGCCACCCATTCACATCAGATTAGATCTTGTGTTTTAGTTTGCTTTGTGTTCATAAATGTGTAATTCAACTCACCCTGCTCCGGAGATAATCTGCCAGGTTCTTTCTTGTGAAGTTTGCTGCGGCTGACGGACTGAGTTCATAACCTACAAACAAAGCAAAAAGGTAGATTTAAAACTTACAGTTAGATGTTTTCTTATAATATGGGTCTGATACTTTAATGATGCCAGAAAGGGCATTTTTTAATTTAAAATTTGAGACAAGACACGCAAAGATAAATAGAGTATGTAATACTGGGTTTCAGATGACGCTAGAATTTTCTATAACTTAATATCATTTAATACAGACTGGGAGCAGCTAAAGATTTCTTACTTAAAATCACATAATCTAATCACTCTTAATACAAGTGATGAGTTCAATATTTGTGAATTTGCCTTTTAGATATTTCTTACAAAAATACTATGTTATCAGTAGGAAAATCTGGCTCTTACTCCCCACCTGGGTATAAATTAAAACAATAAAATAAAAAAATAAAATTTTATCATGTTAAACAGTCCAGTCTTTTTTACAAACAGCACGTGCACATGAATTTACCTACTTCTTGCATACAATATTATGTGTATCATATTTTTTATACCACTAATATAAGTTAACCAAAATAAGCTTGGAAATGAGTTTTACCATTTCTCATTTTGTAGAGCTGCACATTTTTCTGAATGTACTCTGCAAACTGCACCGTGTCTCCTGCTTCTCCCACACACAGAAGAAGGATCTTCTCACTCAGTTTGAACATTTTATCATAGTCTGGAAAACAAGACATGCACAATTATGAAACAAAATGTCCTATAACCAGAGGTGGAAGGTAAAGGAGTAAATGTATTGAAATACTGTAGTTAAGTATAAATTTGAGATGGGTGTAGAATCCCTCAGTCGTCCAGCTAGAATCCATGGCAAAGGAGAAATTCAATTTGTCAATTGAACAAACATTTATTCTGCTTAAATATGTTTCGCAGCTCATCCAGTTCTGGTCAGATGTTGGTGGACACTGCCTTATATCTGCCTGCAGAGAGGAGCTAACTACACTGAAACTACTCTGAAACTAACACACACACTTGTTTATAGTTTCTGTTTGTTAGCTAGGCCTATTCATCTGTATCTGTCATTGTCCCCACCCTCGTTTTTGACCTACATAAACGTTTGTCCACTTGACAAATTTAATTTCTCCTTTGCCTATAAATTTCAAGTATCTGAACATTTTTTAAGTTTTACTTTTATTTCACTACATTTGAGAGAAGGCATCTGTACTTTCTAATCCACTACATTTTTTGAAAAGGACTGAAAAGTAAAGGTATTTTTTATTATTGTTTGAGACATGCTAAAAAGGCTGAATATTGTTTTTATGCATTTGTAATTTGAGCAAACAAAAATATACAGATAAAAACAGCTAAAACAATACTGATTCACTTGCTTCTATTGACCAAAATTCAGCATAAATCTTTATCAAAACCCAACAAGCCTTGAAGCCTTAAAAGAAATACTTTTAACTCTTTACGTACATTTTTAAACAGGTGCTTTAATACTTCTACTTAAGGAGATTTTTTTCATGATACTTTTACTGGTGCATTTGTACTTCTACTTAAGTAACACTGTTGAGTACTTCTTCCATCAATGACTATTACTTTCACTTTCACATCTTCACTTTAACGCCGCGTCAATAAACGACATTCATTAAACAGAATTGGCAGCATTGATTGTAAAATGTTAAATGAAATAATGATAAAATGGTGATGAATAATAATGATTCTTAATATTACAGTTACAAAAAGTTTAATAGTTAGCTTTGTTAGCTCACTCACGATTACACAGATGTCCCAATAAAAGATCACAAATGCCACTTGAAAAGCTTTATCCTGCTCAATATACGCTTTGATTTGTATGTATTACCTTAATTACCACATGAGCAGCTTAAAGTCAAGGCTTTGTTTTGATTTTTACATTAACCGGGTGAGTGCTAATGCTAAGCTAACGCGTTGTCATTACCGTGTTTCATCTGAATTATGCTGCTGGCTGCAACATTATCCGCAGCGACTAGCACAAAATCAGGTCCCTGGATTCCGATTAGATACTCCATGTTGTATAAATAATGTAATACAGAATAATGATCCTTAAAAGTCTTATTTTAGCACGCCTTCTTTCGCCTCGTCTGGATTACACAGCAAAAGTGGTGTGATGGAGATGTCGCGCTGCGTGACGTCAGGGGAGGAGACATGACGTATTTTCAACGCGACTCGGGCGGGCGATTTGATTTCAGCAGCGCTTGTTGTTGTGGCTGGAGTTAGTGGTGAGTTTTACAAAGTTTTAGACTATTTTAAGTTTAAATACTGAGCGGAAAGGACGAAGAGATGCCTCTGGAAGTAATGAAGGAGGTGGATGGTCCAAACGAGCCGCAGAGGAGACGATCGGCGCGGTTAAGTCCTCCACAGACAAATCAAACAAGTGACAACAAAATGGCGCCTTCTGCAGCTTTGGTGAAACGCCGCATCACAGTGAAGAAAATTGCGCCCAGAAAAACGACTTTAGCCCCGTCAGAGCACGACAAGGAGAACACGCCGAAGAGAACAGCTTCAGAAGGCGTCCAGTTGAAAAAACAGAAGGTAAAGCTCAATACGGAACATTTCTGATCACACAAGGCGCATCACCACAAACTGCAACTGAAATAAACACAATTATTGTGCACTTTAGCCGCCATATCCAAGGAAACGTGCAAATGCATGTATAAAATATGCTTTATTTTTTGTTTTGGAATTATCTTACATATGGATTAATGTATGGTACTGCAATTACACTACACTAGTTCTGGGTAAGTGGATAAGTAGGTTATAATATCTTGTAATGTTAACACACATTTTTAGATTTATTTACATACAATTTTACCTTCATTCTCACTATTTATTCACACAATTTATTGTAATATTGTGGTAATCAATGAATGTTTATAGATAGATTAACACTTGTGTGACAAAAGTGCTTTCTAATACAAATCTGAATTTATAAAAATGTGCAATAGATTTAACTGTGAAATAATAAAGCAAATTGTATAAAATGTCAAGCATTCATTCAAGTGGAATTATCTAAAATTGCAGTGACAGGCCTTGGTGTGCAAGTGCAATCATTGTCATGTGGCCATTCAAAATGCCAAAAAATAAAATTTCATATTTTTTGCACACCCTGGACGATGGTTGAAGTTGGAGCAAGGGCTGTTTTGTCTTTCAAATAGCAGAAGCGCTTTACTTTTTCATTCTTATCATATGCTGTTATTTACATTTGTATAGATATCTAACCGTAATTGCACAATAACCGTAGCTTTGCGAACTAAGAAGGTCAGGAGTAAACTTATTTCATAATGATCCTTTGATTTCATGATTTTGCAATTTTTCAAAATCTTGATTATTAAAAATACAAATTAATTAACAAATTTGACCAACTGCTCAGCCCTACCACTGAGTTAAATCTGTCAGGACCAGTGGGACCCATCTCCATATCTAGAGCCTTGATTGTGGGTCAGGACAACAGTAGTGAGGATTTGCGCTATTTGTGCATGTTATATCATAAGTTGTGAAAGTCTAAGTTGTAGTTAAAAACATCTAATACATTTGTTTTTGTTTTTTATTTTCAAAGATTTCCACACCAGACAATGTCCACACTCGAAACAGCTCCTCTGGGAAGAAGCCAAAGAAGCCCACCATGCCTTCACCCATCCTCCCATCTCCTCCTCCAGCTCTCACCGCCAAGAGCCCCAAAGTCCAGAGCAGAAACCAGACCCCGCAAGTCCAGACCAGAAACCGAACCCCCAGAAACCAGCCCCCCAGAAATCAGACACCCAAAGTCCAGACACCCAAAGTCCAGACCGAAACCCAGGATCAGAACCATCAGCTCGACCCAGCAGACAAGGTTTGGTCCCAGAAAGTCCGCCGCTCCTACAGCCGACTCAGCGACAAATCCCTCAACAGCCCCAACTCTCGCCTCACACTTTTTGGATTCGAGAAACTCCAAACCCCAGAGGTGATCCGTAAAGATGGGAACAAAACCGGTCTGGAAGCTTCCAGATCTTTGTCCGGGCTCGCCTCGTTCATGTCTTTGTTGGAGGCGGAGGACTGCGTAGATGAACCGGATCTGAACATCCCGGGAGTGGTGGTAGTCAAAGAGAAAAGGAAGAGGAAGAAGGTGCAGCCGATTGACAATAACGAAATGGAGGAACTGGCGGCAAAAATGAATGCGGAGTTTGAAGAGGCGGAGGAGTTTGAGTTGTTTGTGGAGTGAAGATTTTTAAAGGACTGTGAAATGTGGACTGGAAAATATACAGCAGTTAGGCAAAACATTAAGACTATAAGACTAGAGTATATATCTTTATATGTGATTCCCTCCTTCGACTACTTTCTTAGAATAAATCAGGTCCAAACCAGGACTAAACCTGTAATGAGACTACTTAGTAATGACTGAAACAGGTCTAAACCAGAACTGAATCAGGTTTAAACGATGACTAAAGCAGGACTACACCAGGAATAAACCAGGTCAGAACGAGGACTAAAGAAGGACTTAACTAGGACTGGCTTGTAGAGATGCTTTTTGACCCAGTCTTGTTGACAAGCGATTTTTAGCTGTACAGGGCTTTGAGCACCACCTTGGAGTAAATAATATATTCCAGTTAAAGAGTGAATAGGCCCCAGGTTACTATTTTCAGAAGAAATAGCAAAAATAACAACTCCGGGACTATTACAGCTGATCAAACTCAAACCATTACCTTTTATATCAGCTTTTAACACTTCAACTTTGTGGACTAAATGCTCCTCATATCCAATCTGAAGAAATAGTTATGTTGTTTCAGTTCAGTTGTTCTATTGTTCTGCTTCATTGATGTTCAAAATAATTCTTTTTGGGAAATTGCTTTTATCATTTTATTAGATCCTTTTATTTTTATTTTCCATTTTTAGAAGTGTTTTATTGTTGTAAAGCAGTTACTTTTAACATGGCTGAGTGATTTGTAGCTAGCTCTTACTTTCACTGTATGTGGTATTGTAATTCCTTTGTTTACAATAAGACCAAAACATCTATTGGAAATCTGGAACATCATAGATCAAAATAGCATTCTGATTAATGAAACAGATTTAAAATATATTCACTTTTGCATTGTAAATAAATACATGTCATTTCTTGAACAATTCTATGCTACGGTATTCCATTTTTAGTTTTTACAGCTAGAGTATATGAGATTTTTATTTCAAATTTCATAAACGTAACCAAGATATGAGATAGACCTGTTTAAATCAACTATTGCTTTTACTGATTGTAATAGTTTTAGTTTTAGAAAAACATGGTACATGATGCATGTCCATGTACAGGTTCAGTTGTGGTACCGGATATCCACGGTGATACTGAAAAGTTAGTTAGCTCGGATATCGGCCTCTACATATCGATTCAGCCAATATCCTGGTTGGACATGTAATATGATCTACTATTTACTGGTCATTAGGGATGTAACAATAACTGAAATATCTTGATATCGTATCGTCAAAGTTCTCACAGTAATATTGTGGATATCACAATATATCAAATTACAAGTCTCTTTGCTTAAATTAAGAGTTTTGGTGCAGCAATAGCTAAAAAAAAAGAGAGAGCGACCTACATAGACCATGATCCTTTGCTCCATTTCAATGCAAGCTACAGGAAGAAATGACAGTTCTAAGCACTTTTAAGTCTTAGCTTTTTGGATTAAGTCTTGTCAAGGCATTTTAAGAGGAAAAAGTTCCATATTCACAGTTTTGTTAGCCTCCACAAAATATCGCAATATCGTACCGTAAGATGTATATTGTGAAAATATCATACAGAGAGATTTGGATGTTGTTACATCCCATGAGTTTCCCATGAGTTTCCCCGCCATATCGTGAGCTTTCTCGTGATATCGCAAGAAATATACTGTGAGGTTCATACTGTGACAATATCGTATCATGAGACTCATAGTTGGCCCAGAAAGTCTCATAATGCTTATACAAAGTTGTTCTGTAATTACTAGAGGGATAAATATTATTATTATTTTTTAAATTATTTTATTTTATTATTTTATTTTATATATGTAATTTTTAGTCTGCACTGATATCTGGTATTGGCAACGCTACAGTATCGAAATTGGTATCAGAACTGAAAAAGCTGTATCAGTGTATCCCTAGTATTTATGAGGAGAATCTAACTTGATCTAATGTAAACTGAAATCAGATTTTCGCTCATGCAGATATTTTACACACTGCTTGTATTCAAACCCACTCTTGACTTTGCTGCAGCTCAGAGATCATAATCGGTGAGTGTGAGTCTCTGCTCTGTCAGAAATAACCCCCTCAGCTCTGTGTTCTGAGCTGTTCCTCGTGAGTAAAAACAGGTCTGACTGAATGACAAATGAAGCCTGACGTTCACCTGCTCATAATGACACACAGGCAGAGACACAGAGATCCAGATGTGTGTTCAGATGTGTCAGAGGAGGTTAAACATGCTCTAGTCTACTGCGGAGGAGAATTTGCACATGTTATGGTGGAAAATGGGTTAACAATAGACCTGTCACTATTACACATTTTGAAGCTTGATATATTGATACAGAGACACAACACTGAAACTACTTTATGCTTCTGTAACAATAACAATAATGCAAGACAATCCCAGTAAACAATTTTTAAATAGACAGTAACATTAAAAGGCCTGAACCACAACAGATAAATAACAGAAAGAAGCAATAATTAAGCAATATTAAGTCATTTATTCAACCATCTACATCTCAGATCTTATTGTATAACAAGAACTGGTTCTAGTTACGCTTACTGGAAGGCGTTACGAAACATGCGAATGACAACTTCTGGTGTAGTTACTGACACTGGCCCATAGATTGTATAAAGAATATTTATATATACAGTCTATGTCCTGGCCCCTTTAAACAGACAGATTGACTAAGGACAAGTTTGAAGACACCTGTGATGCAGATTAGAGACACACCTAAGTTTAACATGTCCCTATTGTTCAAGTATTTACAATCTTTTCATAATTTTTGTCCAGGCTATTTTCATTAGTTTGTTTTTTTAAATAATTGTGTTGAACAACAATTCAAAAACAGTGTCTGATTTTCACTGGTTCTAAGTTGGTTTTAAGATGGATTTAAAGAGCATATGTTCAGGAGCTTGTGATAGATGCGATTAAGGTAACCATTTGTCTGGATTTCGGTTGAACAGGTTTCTGAGCCTTTTGTCCAGACCTCTGTTATGCGTCCTCATTTTTGACATTTTGTCCTCATTTTGGATCCTCTGCCGCCACCGTTGCATGTATCACCACAAGTCCCCGCCCATATTGCACCTGCGATGCTGCGATTGCAGTGTTTGAAACTGTTTGCTGTTGAACAAAAGCAAATGCCAAAAAGGAAAACATCCTTCAAACATGCTTGATGCTCAGAGCATTGTTTTGCCAGCAAGAGCACCAAAGGAGAATACTATGCCTTCTGTAAGCTCTGCTGTATTGACACTGATGTGAGTAATGAGGTAAAGGTGCGTTAGAGCACTGCATAGTCTTCTTTAACGTCTTTTTTTTTGCCCCACCAACAACCAACACAACAGATGATTTATTAGATTTACATTTTGTGGTCTATTCTGTATCACAGAAAAACCTGTAGCAACACATGTATGCTACTCAAATAAATACATTGCTCTAAAATGATGTTGTCTTCATGTAGCCTATGTGATACATAATCATCTTGCTTGTCTTGAATTTTATTTATTTTTTATTTATTCAATATTTTACCAGGTAAGTCAGTTGAGAACACCTTCTCATTTACAATGACGACCTGGCCAAGAGGCAATATTACAAAAAAGCACAAACAGGAAACACTCACACATAGACTTTAACATGAAACAGTGAATAGAGATATAAGAGAGTGAAATATTTGCAGATTAAAGATAAAAAAGTGTTAAAAGCATGTGCAATTATCCTGTAAAATACTTTGGATGGAGTTTTTAAAAGTCGACAGAGGTAAAAACAAACTAAGTTTTAAAATTTGTTGAAGGTGGTTCCAGTCACTGTTGCAGAAAACTGAAATGAGGAACAGCCCAAAGCTTTGCGGCTCTAGGAACAACCAGGGTCATGTATCTGTTTGTATCTGTTTGTATCTGTTGGAGCACAGTGTGAGTCTGGAGCTGTGGATGTGCAGGAGTGAGCTGAGGAAGGATGGAGTTTTACCAATTAAACATTTATAAATGAACTGTAACCAGTGTGTTTGTCTGTTTGATGAATAATAATAATAAATGTGATGATTATAATCATAATAGTAATCTATAATCATAAGAATAATAATGATGATAATAGTGATAAGTTGTATAGGGCTGTTTTTAGCCATTTTGTTTTGCCCCCCCTCTGGTTCAGGTAGTGTCCTCTGTCCTCACTTTTGGGCCTAAGTGCCCTAATTTCAGTCATGCCAGTGGTCACCCAGTGATGTGATACAAGCGTTCATGGTCCAGTGTAGCTGTTTGGTGAGGTGAGAGTGACTGACTGAAAAACTCAGATTAAAATGTAACAAAGCATCAGACAGAGCAGTGCCTACAGTTAGCATCACATCCCCAGAGAATGTTGATCACATCAGCTGTAAAGTGTCAATAGAAACGTTAAAAGAATGGCACATTTTGACTCCTACAAATGCGTCTTCCAAATGTTGTTAAAGGATACTTTTGCATATTTTCAGTAATCCCTCGCTCCTCTCCTCCTCTCTCTGTCTGACCTAAGGCTCTCGCTCTCTCCTCCCTCCCTCTCTCTCTCTGTCCCTCTCTCCTCTGCTCTCGCTTCGTTAGGTCTCCTCATTTGCATTCAGATTAATTATCTAATTACGTGCACATGTCCGGCGGCTTGCCCCTGTACCAGAGCCGGCTCGTCAGTGCGCGCTCTGTAATTATTTTAATCATTTTCTCTCATCTGAAGAGCTCTGCCGCACCACCGTGTTTGGAGGCCATTCTTAATTACCAAGACATGAGAGAGAGAAAGAGAGAGAGGGGGAGAGGGAGGGAGAGAGAGAGAGAGAGAGGAGGAATGGAAAAAGATGGAGGGAGAGAGAGAAAGAAGTGAGGGGGGAGAAGATAGAGGGAGGAAGGAAGAGAGATGGTTATAAAGGTGAGAGAAAGAAGATGAGAGGACAAGGGGAGAGGAGAAAGGGAAGGAGGGAAGAGAGGAGAGAAGGAACGAGGGGAAAAGAAGGGTCGAGAGGGCAGAGAAAGAGAGGGAGAGGAGAGAAAAGAGAGATAGAAAGGAGAAAGTGGAAGTGTTTTTATGTTAGAAAAAATGGAAATGTTTTTTATTTTATTTTATTTTGTCCATTTTTGAGTTTGTCCTGATTTATTTATTTATTTGCTTACTTACTTCAGGTTTAGACCTTAATTTCTTGTAATCTACACAGTGACAGTGGCTAAGAAGACCCACAGCAAAACGGTTATGGGTTCTATTCCTGGGTCGGGTCTTTCTGTGTGTATGTCCTCCCTGTGTCTGGGTTTCCTCTGGCTATACTCTAACACTTGAACACGCTAAGGTAGGTCTGACTAAGACTCACTCATGATCTGGAGATGGGTTCCACTGCTCCTGACAGGGTTAACCCAGCAGCAGTGAAGGACGGGTCAAATGCAGATTTAATCCGGAGACCCTGAAGGAAGAGTCAAGTGCAGGTTTAGACACTGAAGGATGGATCAAATGCAGGTTTAACACTGGGACACTGAAGGATGGGTCAAATGTAGATTTAACTCCAAGACTCTGAAGGATGGGTCAAATGCAGATTTAACGTGAGACACTGATGGGTCAAATGCAGGTTAAATCCAGAGACACTGAAGGATGGGTAAACTGCAGATTTAACACTGGGACGCTAAAACTGCAGATTTAACTCCAAGAATCTGAAGGATGGGTCAAATGTAGAGTTTAACCCAGAGACGCTGAAGGATGGTCAAACGCAGGTATAACCCAGAGATACTGAAGGATGGGTTAAATACAGATTTAACTCAAATGCATGGGTCAAATACCAATTTAACCCAGTGACATTGATGGGTCAAATGCAGGTTTAAATACAGAGTTGACACAAATGCATGGGTCAAATGCAGGTTTAACGCAGTAACATTGAAGGATAAATCAAATGCAGGCTTAACCCAGAGACACTGAAGGATGGGTCAAATGCAGAGGACAAATCAGAACCTTTCTCCAAATCTTCAAAAAATAAATCAGAAAATAAAGAGAATATATAAGGTTTCACATTTGTCAGTACACTTGTGCACAGTATAATATGTAGTGAAATTATTCATCATAATAAGTTACTAATCTAAACTTAACTATTAATTTAATTCATCACAGCTCATTTTTTCTTAGTTTTTTCTTTTTAGATTTTTTTTTGCAGTAAATGTGTCTTATTTATAACCAGACTGCTTATTTACACTCTTGTTCTATGCACCAGTCTAACCCATAACCCCACCTCCCTCTCCTCTCTCTCTCTCTCTCTCTCTCTCTCTCTCTCTCTCACTCATTCTTCCCTCAGTCTCTCTCTCTTTCTCTTCTTTCTCCTCCCTCCCCCTCTCCCCCTCTCCTCCTCTCTCCCTCTCTCTGTAGTTCCTGTCTGCTCGGGGTTTATCAGCAGCTCACACAGGAACTGCCTCCGGGCTCCGAGCTCTCACCCTCCTGAAGAGAGGGGGGAGGGGGAGGGGGAGGAGAGGAGAGAAAGAAGAGAAAGAGAGAGAGAGAGTGAGGAAGAGAGACATGTTAACAAAAACTACAGTTGGTGGTTACATCTTTTTTGGTCATTTTTTTCATATTTTGTGCATTAGTTTGACTGGAAGAGTGTGTCATTTAAACGTGGTTACAGGGACATTTCTGCCATTTCATACTGATACTAATCGATACTAAAACTAGTATCAAAACTAGATACCTATTTGTTGTGATATTAGAATTGATATTTGGAATCAATTATTTTTCTTAGTATTGAAATCAAGTTTCAAATTTTTATAGTAAGTAAAACTACTCTGTCACCAAAATGATTCTTAAAACATTTCAACTATCTAGAATAAAATCTACAAATAATAAAAAAGGAAAAGAAATAAACCATGGATATTAAGGTATTACTGTGTTACTTTTTAAGTGGAGGGTCTGCCATCTGCTCGTCTCCATGGAGATGTTGTTCCTTTGTCTGGAATGTTCCACAGTATGACATTAAATGTATTGGTCTTGCATTTATTCAATTACAGCTAAAAAAAACAAAAACAAAACTTGGTCCTGCTTGTCTCTAATGAGTTTTATAAAAAAAATATAGTTACTGAGTTAAATGCCATATTGTGGAATTTCTATGGAGACAAGCAGGTGGTGGACCCAACAGTAAAATTACTCAGTGCATTTTTATTTTTTTAATTTTTATTAAAATGTAACTGACAAATGTTATTTAAAAAAAACAGAAACGGCTCAAATATGGCGCAAAAATAAACAACTATATTGATTTTGCATTTAAACTGTAGCAATTTTTCAAACTCAAATATTTTCATCTTTTTTCAGAATAGAATTTAAACAAATATAGAAAGGAAAACCGAAACAGTGAAATATAATTGTAAGTGATGGTGATGAACTGAAAACAAAACTATTTACACTAAATAGAATAGAAATAGAGGTGGATGATACAGTAAATGATCAGTAATGTTTGAATGTTGTTTTGAAGAAAAACAAAAATTTGAATATTGGGTAAATTGTGTACAATAAAAATGATCACAAAATGCTTCTGTTGATTAAAAGGTGCATCGTGTAACTTCTGGGTCCATCCTTTAAAAGGCTTATGTTTATATTATATATATTGAGATATTTTCTGATCTTTGTTATTATGTTGTTTCCTCATCACAAACAGACTTACATTTAGACTTAGACTTAGACAGACTTGATTAATTCACAAAGGAAATTACTTGGACACAATAAATCACACATCACAAACTAAAAAATATATTTAATGATAAACTTCTAAATAAGTAGCAAAAAATTATAATAACAAAAAAATAGCAAGAGATTGGTGCCAATAAGACATAAATTATATAAATGTACGTACCTGGAGTTGTGTTTTATTTCATTCACACATTTACACACATCAAAGAGAAACAATAATTTCCACCTTGTGATGTCATGTGGTAATACAGGAAGTGCTCCAGTGTGGCTCAGCACGGCCAGGCCTGATTTAATACTTGGATGGGAGACCTCTGGGAAAGTCAGGTGAGACATGAGGGCACCAGTGGCAAAAATTGTTATTGTGTCCTTAAGCAAGACACTTCATCCACATTGCCTTGTATGAAAGTGGTGTGTGCGTGAGTGATGGTGGTGGTTGGAGGGGCCGATGGTGCAGATTGGCAGCCTTGCTTCCATCAGTCTGTCCCAGGGCAGCTGTGGTTACAATAGTACTTTACCACCTCAGAGTGTGGAGTGAATGAATAATGAACTGTAAAGTGTCTTTGTGACAAATGTCTGTGAAAAAAGCTTTATAAATAAAAAAAACATACTTACTTACTGTGTTTTTAAACCGCACAGACCTTCACTAGAATCATTTCATTCATGATTTAAAACCTGGACTTGCCCATCTCTACTGAACTAGGTAACTAGGTTGGGTAAAAAGTATTTGTTAACTTGAAAACTACCACTTCATGACATCACAAGGTGGAACAGAGCATTTTGAGCTTTGGAGATGTAGACAGACTAATAATAAAGAGTCAGTCAAACATGTATGAATGAAACAAAACACAAGTCCAGGTCTGTTTTTGAGGAGGTCTTATGTTGTGCCCTTGAGCTGGACACTTCAACCACTTTGGCCTAGTGAGATACAGTTAATAGAGAGGAAGATTTGAGCCATTTGAGACTATGAAAACCAAACAGAAGGGTTCAAATCATGGGTTTGTTACTCAGTTATTAAAGGTGCAATATCCAGCTTTATTTAGGATATTTAAAGTGCACGTGACAGGTTTTTGTATTTTCTAATTCTGATTTGATTTGGTGGATAGCAAGTGGCAAACTGGTAAGAAAGGTTGAAGGAAAAAAAATGAAAAAATATACAACGTTCTTGAGCCTCTGCGTTGAGTAAGTGTAAGTGTGAGATTCAAGTTTAATGAAAGATGATTATCTCCAGTTTATCTGCTCCTCACCGCTGCAGATTTAAACACATCTGAACTGACTCTTCTCGAACATTCTCCACATGTAACTCACTCAAATACT